TCTCTAATTGAGTCTTCCTTTATTTCTTCAAGTTTTCTGAAGATCATTGCTCGAAATTCTTTTTAAGACATTTCAAGGATTCCTTGTTCCATGGAGTCTGACTTTGGGGCATTATGTATTCTTTCGGTGGTGTCATTTCTTCTTTATTGTTTGTACTTCTAGTGTTTCTTGCTGGTGCTTGGTCATTTGGTAGGGGATTTGCTTCTTCTGTTACACTGAGGTTGGCTGTGGAGTGGCCTTGGTTGCTACTGTGGGGGGTGAATTGTCTTACTTAACAGTAGGTGTGGTGGTGCTTATGTTAAACCAACTTGGTTCCCATTCTAGACTCTGTGGTGGTAGAATAAGCCCCTAACGTGTGGAGTTCTGCTGGGCCAAACTTTGTGGGTTGGATCTGTAGGCTGGTGCTCCCCCCTGGATCTGAGGTGGGATGAGGGGCCATGTGGAGCCATGCAGTTCCGCTGGCTGTCTGGCACTGGCAGGCTCACCTGCGTGGTGCCAGTTCGGGGCAGTGGAGTGGGGCCTACAGCTCCCCCTCTTGCCTGGATCCAAGGTGGTGGGGTGGGGGGGTGCATGGAGCCACATGGTTCACTGGCTGGCTGGCACTGGTGGGCTCACCTATGTGGTGCCTGTTTGGAGCAGTGGGGCAGGGTCTGGAGCTCCCCCCCCTGCTTGAGTCCAAGGCGGTCGGGTGGGGGGGGCCGCGTGGAGCCACATGGTTCCCCTGGCTGGCTGGCCTAACAGGTTGTCTTCTATACCAGCTGTTCAGAAGGGGAAAATACCATGGAGGATCCTGGGTATTTACTTCTGCTCATGTTCCTTCAGCTAGAACTTGGTTATGTGTCACACCTACCTTGGAAGAGAAGGGGGTATAATTTATTCTAGATTGGTGCTCAGGAATGAGGAACATGTTTGGTCAATGACTGCCAAACTATACCAAGAATAAAATTGTTTGTTTTTTCAAATAAAATCTTTGAAAATTTAAAAACCTTTTTTAAAAAAAAAACTAGTTAAGTGATTGATATGTGCAGGTGTGAAGGGCCTTTAGGAAGGTTATATATTTTGGTAAACAGATGATTCCCACTCACTCCCACTATACCATATGCTTTTTAAAGAAATGTTTGGTGTGAGGGATGGGGAGACCAGGTGTGGTGGACATTTAGGAATGTTCATCTGAAAACTGGCTTTAAATATTTAGTCACAGGGCTTTTCTTTTGAAAGTCTAAGGTGAATGGTTAAATAGTTTTTTATTTGAGAGTAAAGTCATTTCTCTATGTTCTCGTGTCTCTGCTCATGTCCTGTGTGAGAGAGAACAGTTCTGGTTATGGGGGTTATTAAGATGGTTTAAGAAGCTTCATAATAAATTAGATCTGTAGTTAAAAATAGATGTTTTTTTGGGAGGGATATCTAATTCAACTCTATAAGAATTTCATCAAGTGTTAAATATATGTTTTATTCATTGAACTTAAATTAGCCTAAGGTAAATGTTAAAATAGGTTATTAGGTTAAGTATTGAATCTGTTCTAACAAATCTAAATTAGACACAACAAACTGACTCATAAGGAAATGAATAAGAACACAAAATAATTGAATCATAATTTAGTTGGTCATCACACTGGAACAGAAATTAAAATAAATTTTTGACAATATATAAATTGCTGTCATTCATTTTCTGTGGTAAAATACTTTGTATTTCAGTACTCTGGGAGCATTTTTAAAACTTATTTGCCTAGTCACTATTTGAGTTAGCAGCAGAATTTATCATCATACACATTATTGTCTTGTAAGAAATAGACAAACCATTTTCTTACCCATGATTTAAGGGAAATCTAGCCAAAGAATTATGCCCCATTTTTAGTTACTAGGGACTGAACTATCCCAGTATTGAGGCAAAATAGTACAAAATAACTAATATCAAACTATAAACTTAGCTTTATGTAAGAGTTAAAACCACTAACAGAATTCCAAGGGATCAAATCTGTTAACTGCATAAGAGATTTCTGTATGTGCGTGTGTGTATATACACTTGTAATAAATTAACACCTCATATCTAG